ATGTTTTTATCTCATTTCCTTCTTTTAAAGGCCCTCTGATATTAACTGATTCCACCAATGTTTCTGAAATAACCACATGACTTAAGTAGATTCCATCCTGCTGGTCCCTGTGATTTACAATAATCTTCTGGGGTGTGTTTGACCAGAGTTGATCAGCTTGGTGATTGATTCAGAAACAAGTACAAGACCTGATCCAGGTCAATGAGAGTGAATATCAGGACTTTTCTCTGTGCATGTTGTGCCAAAGATGCTTTCTTTATCCTGCTGCATGTAAACACGGAAGTATATTGCCCAGGGAACTATTGGCAAGTACTTGGTAGAATGATAGAGCCAGGCTTGGGATGAAGCTTACTCCAAGGAAATCAAAACAGAGACAGCGAAACCAGAGAATCCTTGGCAGCATACTTGAGTGGCTAGATGAAGCCCTACAAGATCACCTCTGAACTTTTCAGATATATGAGCCATAAATTCCCTTTATTGTTTAAGCTAGTTGGCTTTGGACTTTCTCTTATTTTCAACTAAAAGCATGCAGATATAGTTATTCTCTCCAGATCTTCATCTCACTGATGTAGGTCCAAAAACTATATTAAGACGGGAGTCATAAGGAAGAGTGAGGAAGACCAGCCTAAAAGCCCAGAAGTAGGGGCCTCAAAGAGGAAAGAGAGCAGAGAGCAGAGCTATAACAAAAATGGATATACCGCTGGTCATGGACTCATCTGGTTTCATAAGATACATTCACTCCTTTTTAGCAAAGCACTAGAACCATCACTCAAGCTGCTACAAGGAATAGATGTTCAGTAAGAGCCATGAGGAACTTACCTACTAATCAGCTGGCACAATCTGTTATTACTAGTAAATTTGTATCATAAGAGAGGAGAAATAAGAGACAAAAAGGAAAAAGGAGAAGGTGCATAAAATAATGGACACTCAACCTCTTTTCTTATTCGTCACACTCCATTCCACTTCCTCTAAGCCTACATTTTCTCCCTCCTACTCTGTGATAGACAGTGAGTTAACTGGCTTTGAGTGGCCATCTGAAAGTATTAAGGACCTCTGGGGCCAGAAATACTAGATGATAAGTCAGCATTAGAGCAAACTTCTACTGGCTCACAAGAGTTGACTGATAAGTTTTCAAGAATTCTGTGAGCCAGTAGTTAACTTCAGTAAACACAGCCCTAATTAAACTTAAATTATATAAATTTAATAATTAGAAAAAGTATTTAAAGACAAAGCAATAAATACTCAAAACATATCACTTTTTAAGTCTTTTTACTGCATTTTGCTATTACCTATGCTTCTAATGTTATTTCTATCTGTTTGTATGTGTATGGTGGAAACACTGTATAACGTATTACTGAACATATTTTCCTAAATCTCCATTCAGTGCCTTCTTGATGGTAGCTTGAAATCGGCCATGGTGGGTGTATTTATACCATAGAAATTGGCAAACTCCGGAAACCAAGGCATTTCCCCCCGCCCCAAAGAACCAGTTGTTAAGTATTTACTAGCAAGGTACTAGACACAGGAATATGTTAAGTCAACATATTTTGCATAAACAAACAGCAAAAGACATATCTAAATTCTCTAGGGTTTTCTTCCCTTCCCTTCCAATAGTTAAATTTATAACTGGAGCAGTAGTTCCAAACCATCTGTGAGGGGAATCTAATGTATGAACACTTTCATTACTTAACACTGTCAACTGAGCACATAGAATCCAAGTCCAGCTGTTCCCTGCCCCTTAGTGCAAACCCCTCTGCAGGGTCTTAACAGTGTTTTTAATCTGGATGCCTGATAAATGATATAACTTATTCAGGATACATATCCTTGCCTTGATGGATTAGAAGGTTGTCTTTGTGGCATTAGATCATCTATTGAAAATAATATTGCTAGGCATACTTTCCTATTGATGTCATTTATAGTGATCCAGAATTTTCCCTTTGTTCTTTAAAGATTTTCTTGATATATTGTATTTGGCTACTATTTCAAGAATCAATGATTATTTATGAACAGTTGAATATCTAATTATAAATTGATACAGACATATAATCTAAGGATCTTGGCCATAATCAAATTAATTTCCACAAAAAACCCACAATTTTTAATCTACTAGAAATATTCTTCTTCAGTAGTGTCCTCAAACGTTCAATACTTTTGTAGTTAAACTAAGGTTTAAAATCTTACATTAAAAAGTTCAAATAATTTTTTTGAGTATACTTTCCTTCTACCTTTCATACTGTAGAGCCCCATTGCAATGAGTATTAGAAACCGAATGGAAAATTGCATTTTATTGAGACAATATGTGATCTTTGAAAATGTGATCAGTTCCTTTTTCAAACCTTACATTAATGCATAGTCTTATGAACAAACACTGGACTTAAGTTCCTCCAAAAGGAAACATTCTTTTTTTCACATTTATTTCATACATTAACGTTCTGAAACTTGATCAAATGATTTATGTGTGCACAGGTAGTTTTACACATTTAATGTGAAATTTTGATCCTACCAAAAGTTACATATTTAGTTAGATCAGTGAATCTAATTCATAGTTTGTAAAGATACTCATTTACACATAATTGTAGTAAGACAAAAGATCTTAATTTAAAAAACCCTCTTTTCCCATGATTCCCTGGCAGTTGCAATTCTGGTAGAATGGGCAAAACCAGTGGAGGGGAGTTAACGAAACTGACTTGCTCTACGGTGGTCCTATTGATTTACTTAGAAGCCTGAGGCCAACAATTTTCTTTGTATTGCACAAGTCTCTTCTGCTTGTATACAGATAGTTGGCCTAAGTGGATGGAATAATAGTCCATAAAATATGCTTTATTTCAAAATGTAACATACACATATACATATTACATGAAAGATAATAGTCCAGACTGTCATTTTGAATAATGCCTGAAAAGACTACAGTTGATAATAAGGCCATTAATAATTTTCTTTACATTAAAAAGTTGATTTTGAAATCCATCTGAGATTCTTTAATTTCCTATTTTATATCTCTTTGATTTGAGTTCTATAGCTATTTTATACAGTTTTCAAAAACTTACTATAAAATATTATCATTTAGTAACTAATTTTTTAAACATTTAAGAAATGAGATTACCAATATATTGAATTACACAGTTTGGAATTACACAATCATCTAGTACTGTTTATGAAATGCACATGTACAGCATATTAGAGTGAAAAAGACAACAAAGAAACTAGGATGATAGAATAGTATGGTTGGACTTAATACTGTGATTTCTGCTTGGGTAGTGACTAGAATTTATTCTAGCTCTCTGGTGCTACTTTTCTGAAGGACCTTTATAGAAGTTTAGAAACCTATGGCATGCTAAAAAAATCTTATGAATTTACTAATTTCCCAAAAAAGCACACTTTTCTTGGGGTTATGGAGTGCTGATGTGAAAATTTAAACCAAGGAAGACTAATAAACTTGTACACTGAAGCATTAGGTTAAGTTCTTTTTCTCCCCAAACTTTTCATATTTGATCTGTGGTATTTAAGGCCTTCTTGGTGTCCTAATTTTAACATTGATGGCTTGATTAAAACATTACAGTTTAAGATATGCTGATGCAGGAAAAGCAAAAGGGGTCTTCACGTAATCTTCCATCTGAATTTCTAGATTTTATACTCTATACTTTTCAAAGTGCCCTTGCAATTTATGTTAATATTAGCATTGTCTTTGTTATTGGAGAAACTCAGATATGCTGATGTTTGACTGTAGCACACAGCTCAGTAAATTAGAATCATGGAATTTTAGAATTAAATGGATCAGCAAATCCAACCTCCTCATGTTCAGATGAGGCATCTGAGGTCTGGTCTGGAACCCAGGGCTCCTGGTACCATACCAACAACAGCACTCCATTTAGAACCCGGGCTTCCTGTTTTCAAACCACAAAGCTAAACTCTTTTCCTGAAGTCACAAAAACAGGCTGCTCAGTCCTCTTCTGTGTGCTGGGAAAAGCTGTTCACCAGTCATGCAGGGAAAAATTAAAAACATAAACAAAAAACATCCCAAAAAAGCCCTCACAGAGCCCAGGTGAAAAAACTGTAGGGTGACTGAAGCAGCCTTCCGAGGCACTGTGGTCTTCCCTGTTTCTGAAGTTCTTCTAATCTGTCAGTTACATCTCTGTGTAAGACTGGGGGTCAGCGTATGCCCAGTTCTTCTTATGGTTATTTTCATTCCAATTCCTCCTCCCCACCACGTAGGGACAGATGCCAGTGGCTCTCTAGAGCATCACCTGCTTCTATTCTTACTCTCCCTCCTCTTTCTGTCAACTTATCACTCCCTATCATTTTATGCTTCCCTATCTCTCTCCCTCCTCCTCCAGTATTCAAGTCTGGAAGATTTAGTGAGAAGAGGAACAGGATTAATACCGGAGAATATGTACGAATTAGGGGTAAATGGCACAGGGCTGGGGGGCATGAAACTTTGATAAGCCAACTATTCTTGCCCCCACAACTAATTCATGCACGGATAATGGCAAAATATTTTTGTATTTTTGCCTGTCTTAGAATAGCACTTGTTAGATGGTAGCAACATGGTTCTCTTACTTCTGTATAAAGCACAGAAGTTTTGTTTCACAGCAGTAACGCCGAGACAATTGCTACCATCAGCTCTATTCCTTCTAATATTGATGATGATGATGATGATGATGATCATGATATAATGATGTAACGATGTGACAGTATAGAGCCTTAGTGTCAGGGGATACTTTCTATTATTTGTTGGGAGTGTGGTATAGTTGCTGCTGGGACATAATCTGACATGACAAACATAATGGATCTGTAATGAGTAACAATTTGGGGTGTAGTTAGTAGAAGCTGGAAGTTATCTACATTTTTACTCATTCTATCCAGTTCTATGTATTTTAGTCTAGATGGGTAAGATTTTTCATTAATTCTTGGAGGTTATTTCTCCTTCAGATGGAATGAGTGCTCTGATGTACAACTCTCCTTTTTTGATTCTTACATTTTCCTACCGATTGATCTCAAAGGTTCACCAGCTATAGTGTCTCTACCAAACGACAAGAACTGGAGTGAACTTGCAGTTCATGTTAAAAAACAACCCATTTAGAGGGGCGGAGCAAGATGGCGGAGGAGTAGGAGACCTGGATTTCGTCTCCTCTCAGGAATTCAGCTGGATAGGGATCAAACCATTCTGAACACCTACAAACTCAACAGGAGATCGAAGAAAAGAAGAGCAACAACTCTCTCATCAGAAAAGCGACCACTTTCTGGAAGAGGTATAGAAATTCAACTGATTTCTGCACATTGTTTTTGTACCCTGAAACTTTATTAAATTCACTGAACAGTAAAAAAACAAAAAAAACCCCAACCCATTTAGTCAGTTCATTGTCACGTTTCATTCTTCTCCACGCTAAATCTTTTTGAAAAGTGATATAAAAAATAAAGGAGTTCCAAGTACAAAAGAAAAAAAATCCTGATGCACAAGGAGAGAAGGAGGGCTTTGAAAACATCCTTCTCTGTTCAATTTTATAAGGGAAAATCCAACCCAAGTTTGATTTACTAAGTGTTATAATTAAGATCAAAACAGTTGCATGCTCTATCTTAAATTATCCAGATTTTTGCTGCTGTGAAGTATTTGAAAGTTTGGAGGATTATTCCCGAAAAGGTTTCTTTGCAGTCTGTCTCATCTCAGCATCCATGACACTTCCCTAGCTCTGGATCTCTAGACACCATGTCATACACAAATAGTAAAGTTCCATATAAGATGTCAGAGGAAATAAGAGAGGGAAATTATTTAAGCTGTTTCATAAAGTACTACAGCTATTTTATCTCAGATGAGTTAAGAAAGTCTGCGATCATCCTGCATTATCTGGATACTTGACCTCCAAACACAGGCAGAGCATGTGACTCCCCTTAAGGGGGCTGGAAATCTACCCATGACTTGGGAGGGAGGCTTCAGCAGACTTTACATGGCCAGGACCTACTGGTGGTAAGATAATAGTTTGGAGGGGTTTTTTTCCCCTTGAGATAGAATTGTATTTTTTCTTTATAGTTCATAAACACAAAATTTACGTTATAAGAAAAAGAAAAAGATATTCTTACCCTTGAAGGTCTATGTCAGGACTAACATAGAGTAGAATCCAACACATGATTTAAACTGGGAATACATTAAATGGATCAATTGATTAATGATTAGAATGCAATTAGAAAATAACTTATCTCAAGTCCAGTTTTAAGGTAAATAATTTATTCTCAAACTCAAGTGTTCATCCAGTTTTTCCTTGTTGATCAGGAAAACTATAAAAACAATTTCAAGTAAACTACCTGAACCAGGAACTATAAAGAAGCATAAAAATTTAAAAGAAGTGTGAATTTTTGAATTTTGGACCCATACAAGTTTAGTTCTGGAATCTGATTCAGAATTATTCTCACTTTATTCCAAGCTAGTCTGACATCATAGTAAAACATGGAAACTAAGTTGAATCCAGTATGCTAATTTTATATTCCAGAAAATAGAAAATGAAACTTAAAAACAGGACTCTTTAGATATGACTACATTATATGAAGAGTATCTGAAACAATCTTTGACTGGTTCTATGCAGTGTGCTTTATGGAAGGTGAAATATGAAAACACTATACTTACCCCTGTTCCCGGCTGCCCCCACCAGATCTCATGCCTCTAGGTCTCAATAGTGTTCAGGTGAAAGGTTACATTCCTTGTCAATGGAGGGGAAATAAGGAGGCATTCTGAAAACTCCACAGATATATCTGGAATGGCTCAAATCAGCCCTTAAAAGCATCTGGATATTCTACCCATTCACTTTTAAAATTGATGCTATCCTTCGCTCATAAAGTTTCCTTTATAACAATCAAATGCAATTTATAAATCATTGCTTTCTAGAGGTATTTGCTAGAACTTAAGGAAAAGGAGAATGGAATATCATCTTGCATCTAATTTATATTAAATTTTTTGAGTCATATGCTTTGAGACTACATAAACTTTATATTTCCCTAGACATCATATATAAAAGTAGATTTCTATTGAAAATATCTTAGTAAACCAATTACCAAATATGAAGACTGGTTTTGGGGTTAAAGAAATTCATAATCTGAATTCCAACTTAACAGTTTTTGTACAAAAAAGATGATAGAATATATTTTTAATGTTTTATGTAATATATAAGATAAAAGAAAGCAAGATATGCCATGTGGGTTGGACCATGAAGACAAGTATGAGACCTGTCCAAAAAAAGGAATTGAGAGTGATATTAACTTATAATGTGAAATGTGAAAGGCAAGCCAAGCAGAATGTACATCAGCTGTCAGATTGCTTCATTCCTTTAGAGCAGTTGTTGATCTGAAAATAGCTTTCAGATGAGAAAGGATGACTACAAAAGGATTAGTTACCATAGGCTTTTCTACACCCCCTAGAGCTCCAGGTTTGTTATGACAGAATAGCAAGAATTTAAAGGAAGTAAACTATAGAATATTAAATATCATCAGGAAGGATCTTTGTTAATGCTGAGCTAGAGTAATGCTGAAAAAGGATTTTCATTGATACCATTTCCATGGATTTCCTTCATGATGGCTGATGCTTGCTGTTTTCTCTGCTTCACCATGGTATTATGTGAAAGCATGGTCTTTTGTTCCCTGTGGAAAATAAAGGAACGTTATTGAGACAATGTGAAGAACTCATCTGGAGTATTTTATAATCATCCTTTTGAAAGAGAGCATCTTCGTTCTTTATTAGGAATTTATTATTGTTTCTACTGAGTGACTTTAATATGCCTTATCTATCTTGTGACAGAGCATGTTATTCATTGACAGGCAATATCACAGTGAACAGAAGATAATACTCAGAGTTTCAGTCCCAGTCTTAATCTATACACTTGTACAATGGTCCCCAGGCAAGGAGAAACAATGAGAGAGCTGCCTCCTCTCCCCTCCCTCTTTCTTTTCCACAGTTTATTTTAATCTGTCATCGTTTCCTTACTGGCCTTCATTTGTACCAGCATCACGGTACATCAATTCCAGCAAACTGTAAGAATGAAGAAAGGACACTAGATTAAAGCAGAACTCTTTGGTGGTGGCATCTTAATATTAGCATCAACAGCTGCCCTTTAAAGCAAAGAAGGCCCATTTATGGGTCATAACTCTGAACCTCCTTGGACAACTGACTAATAAAACATTTTAGGAAATAATATACTCACCTTGCTCTTAGGCTGTGCTTTGCAGCAGGGATGAGTCCCAATTTGTGGAGGAAAGAGTGGAGATGGAATATGGATGGCACTTGGGCCCGATGGTTTTTATCCCTGAGCCTGGGACGGCATGGTCCCTAGCTCTGACTCAAACTGGGGACTGAGCCTTTCTGAAGAGACTGGCATCCAGCTGACATCAACTGACTATATATAGCACCAAATACTTCAGCTACTCATATCTTCCTGGCGAAAGGGAGGAACAGAGAAAGATTAGGTTCTCTCCATTGTGTTTCTAGTTTGTGAGATGGTTGAAGGAACATACAGAAAGTTTTTATGGCGCACCTTCTCTTTGAGGAGATAGTAGTCAAAAGGGATTTTTAAAACTTGTTAAGATGTAGATCTTATGCTGCATCTTCTTGACGTGGCAAGAGACACGTACATGAATTAGAACAGAATGATAGATCATTAACCATTACAATGAAAGTATGGGTAATAATATCTATGGAGTTTCAAGAATGAAGAAAGCAATGTTGGGTTAACCAGTAGAACCTTCCTTAAGCAGGAGTGAGAATTATGCTAGGTCCAGAAAAATGGGTAATATTTGAATGGCAAAGTGGGGGAACACTTGGCAATGGTGTTAAAGGTTGAACCATGAAGCTATTTGAGTAAAAGCTGAGACTCATAACTGGGTCATACTTTTTGAAGAGACCTATAAAGAAGAGAGCCTACAAAGTTGACTAATCTTTGCAAGGTCTGGTGTGAAGGATTCCTGTTTGGGAGAATGAGAAGATAACAGGTTTGGAAGGTGGGCTTTATTGGCCTCCTTGCTGGTCTTTGAGCACAGAAGAAGTATATTCTCATTTCTGGGCTTTGCTTTTACTATTTCCCGCTTGATGGAACATGCTCTTCTTCGACCCATGTGGCTCACTCTCCCATGCAATCAGGATTCCATTCAATTACTGATTCCTTATAAAGCACTTCCCCAGTCACCATGTCTAAAATATCACATGGTGCCACGCTCTGGTTCCTAATTTTGCTTCATTTTTCTTTATATTTTTCATTAATATTAAAGTCAAATGGAAGTGGATGAAAAACCCCCAAAACAGAAATTTTAAAAAGACAGAAGTTTGTTTTTCCCACATATATACTTAGACCAGAGGTAAATAATCTAGGATTGGTGTGATTGACATAATCATCAGGGGCTCAATTGCCTTCTAATTTTTTGCTCCATTATCCCTAACATGCAGTCCCCTTGGGCCTCAGTGGCTGCTCCAGCTCTAGCCAGCATGTTCATATTTTAGTTAGCAGAAAAAGGAAAAAGTAATGAGAAAGGCACACTGTCTCCTCTTCAGAACATGTCCTGATATTGCTCAGATCTCTTTGGCTTACATCCCTTTGTCCAGAACTTAGTCAAGTAGCCATACAGAACTCAAGAGAGGCTGGGAAATACAGATTTTATTCTGTGTGGCTGTGCGCCCAGCTAAAATTCAGAGGATAACTTACTGAGAAAGGAGATAAGTGGTTACTGTGTGACAACTCCCAGATTTTGACACAAGAACATATCGACATTATTTTATCTATCTAGTGTCTCTTTTTCCTACCAAAATACAAGGAACTCCATAAAGGCTTGGGTATCAAGAATTGTGACTAGTATGTGGTGGGCACTCAATATTCATTGAACGAATTAATAAATGAGTGGGTTGGAGATTAATTGTGGAATGCATTAAAGGTTTGGCATGATTTTGGAATTCTCTTCCTGTTATGTTAAACACTTGGGGGGGAAATAGGATTGTAATAAATGAAGAGTAACTTGAATATGGGAAGATGGTGGCGACTTATGAGAGAAATTGTTTTGAATGAGATTGAAATAGGTTATACTTTTAGTGCCTGATCATAGGACTGCCTGATCACAGTTCAAGGTAGTAGTAGGTTTAAGCTAACCTATTACAATTGCTTCTAAGCAATTGTTTGCTTTGAAGATATTAATTAGGTACCAATGGGAAACCATTTTGCCAAAGCCAAATGAATTTAAATTCCCTCCTAAGATTCTCTAATTGCCCTTAAATTCCTGGCTCTAGCATTTACTGTAGTAAGCTATTAGTTAGGTCTCCTGAACTCTTAGTTTTCTTACCTATAAAATGGAGATTACAGTTTCTACCACATCATGTCATGGACATTTTACATATAACAATTTTAGAAATTTCTGATACTTAATAAAAGCTTAATGAATATTAATTTTTTCATTTACTATTATTATTCCTGCAATATGAAAGTATTAGAACAATCGACTGCATTATTCAGTAAAAAATAAAAATATATTCAGAAAACCCCAGTTTTCTGATGTAGTCACCTTCATCTGTTTCCAATTTTGTGTTATATAGCTCTACAGGTTGAACCGGTGTCCTCAGCAGATAATAATTGTTATGTTACCTTTGATTTCTAAAATGAAAGGAGATTTTTTTTATTTTTTATTATTTCTTTTTTTTTTTGAAAGGAGATTTTTAAAAATTAATTATTTCTTTATTTATGGGGAAAGAGAGAAACCCATGCAGACTCCACACTGAGGGTGAAGCCTGATGCAAGGTTCAATGCAGAGCTTGATCTCATGACCATGAGATCACGACCTGAGCCGAAACCAAGAGTCAGATGCTTAACCAACTTAGCCACCCAGGAGCCCCTAAAATGAAAGGAGATATTTTAAATAATTGCAAAAGTTTTAAAGAATGTAACACCTTACTTGTTTTTGTTTTTCAGTTATACTTAAAATTGTTTGCCTTACTTTTAAGTTCATTCATACATATCTTTGATCACGTTCTGGTTTCTGATTTATTGTTTGTTCTGAAAAGAAGAAAGAGCAAATCACTGGTATTGTAACTTTCAGACAGTGTATGCTCTCCATATGTTTCATGACTAGGCTAAATTTTAGAAAAGAACTCTACGGTTTTTATAAAGCATTTTCAGATGGTCCATTCTGAAAGCCAATGCATTTAAATTTTAAATCGAGTCACAGTTAATATATTTCTATTTCATTTGCACAGAGATCTGGCTGTATATTAAATTTCCCTTACATTTGTCAAATTGCAATCTTCCTTTGTCCTCAGCAACCCCCCTCTCATCCCCAAGACCCAGGATGCCTCCCCCCCCGCCCCTCCACACACACACACTCTATATCAGAAAAAGGTCTTTCCTACCCCCAGGATCTCAGTACCTACACTTATCTTGCCCTATTAATTGTCCTATTAATTATTCTTGTCCTTGATGCTTCTTCTAACCCTAATATAAGCAGAGTAGTACTTTAGGTTTCCCTCAAGGCCCTAAATATTTTAAATTAAATGGTGCTAACAATAAAAGATGAGATCTTTTCTTGTAGGCAAAATAATGGGATTCTAATGGTAGAACTCGGTGCCTTGGGAGGCCAGTGTGGAAGAAGTTTATGGCTGAACTTGTCAGTGTCTCTGTAACCAAACTATTTCCATTGCTAGGGCTGCCACAGTGTGTTTCCAACTCCTTTGCCACTTGCTACAAGGAAAAAAGAGACTAAATAAGGTGAGTTTCACTGCCAATATACCACCTAACAAAAATCCACACCATGAAGACCATGAAAGGCAACCTTATTTAGCCAGTGTGGTAAACAATGAGCCCTTTAGCCAAATGGTAAACAAGGTCTACATTGATCTTCCTCTGACTGAGCACTTGTTTTTAAATTCTGTGTTTCTCCTTGTCCCATTTTCAGTCTATATTAGGTGACTGTGGGCAGTTAAAGATTAGGGCAGGATCCCTGGGGTGGGGGTGGGGCCAGGATGTGGGAACTGACTGTCTGCTAGATGGGCAGACAACATATCACCATTATTGAGACTCAGTTCTGGAAGGATGCACACATAACCCAAACAGGGCAGCTGCCAGGCTAATGTTAAATGACAAATCTGATAGGATGATCAGTTATTTACCAGCCTTCAGGGTGTCCTATATGGTGCTAACCCTGGGAGGAGAGAAAGGATAACAAAGGTGTAAAAACTTATAGCCGGTGAGGCTAAGGATGCATGGGTTTTGGTTTGTGTGAAAGGCCTATCCATTCTCCTTATGGCTAATTGGCTTGCTGTATCTTCCATGGTTTCTATTTTTCTACATCGAGGAAGGTCCAGCTTACAATCAATCTCATTACCCAGACATAGCAAGGGCAGAATAGTTATAAGCAGTGCTGTGCTGATCATCCCACCAGCCAAAGTGAGACAGTACAAGACAGATAGGTGAGTTTGCAACTGGTCTCACTATAGCAAAGGCCTAAGGGCACCTACAGGGGTAAGAGGAACTGTTACAACCGTCATTTAGTTAATGTTTGTTAGGTGGTGCAGTTGGTCACGTATCGTTCTACAGTTTTGTAACCTGCTCTGCCTATAAATCGAGGGTGAAATGTTCCACCTTAATCTGAAAGGAGAAATCAAGTCCCCCAAATTGTGCGTGTGTATATATGTACTAAACAACATCACATAAACACATATATACAGTGCTTGTGGTCCCAGTCAAAAAGTAAGTGGAAGAGAGAGGAAGAATTAAAACCAGATGAAACTGAGAAAATATGTCTAAAGTGGACAAAGAGCTTTTTCTTAAAAAAAAAAAACACAACTTTTAACTTCATCATACTTTTTTAGCCTTACTCTTGCATTACAGAGGAGGAAACTGACATTCTGAGAGATTAAGTAAAACCCCCACGCATCATCTTTGAAAATTATAGAGATGGAATTAACCATTTGTTTTGTCTGATCCAGAGGCTCTTGTATTTTCACTATACTGTGCAGAAATGTCTATCTTCCCAATCTCCGAATTTCTCTGTATTGATATCTTCATAACAAATATAAAGAAGCAGCATTGAGAACTGTCAGAATAATTATTTCAATGTGCTCCTTATCGATTCCCTTTAGAAGAGAGCATCCCAACATGTGGTTTATTTTGGCTGGGGTCCTTTTTACTTATAACATTTGTGGCTCTTTTCCATTTCATGTGTTTCTCGTTTGCAAGCTTCTAGAGTTCCTCATGGTGTCTATTCTCAGGGTGCTTTCCTTTCCTTCAGCTGTGCAAATACTAAAGTTATTCAAGTGCTGAACATAAATGGAAACATGTGCCATTTGCTGTGCAGACCTCTCCTTCCTTTCCTGTCTGCTGTACCACACACACAAACACACTTATTACCTTCAGGGCCAAAAATAAGAAGCAAATCCAACTCTATCAAAATAATCCATTTATAGGCAAACCCAGGGTTTTACCTGCCTTCCTCTGCAAATTTATTTCTCTTGCTTAAGCATTTCCTTCTAGGCTCTTAAATTAAGCGTTAAGGTAAACTGAGGTGAAAAGGAGAGTTAAACAGAACCCGATGACCAGCTTGTCAAGGATGGCTCACAGAATAGGGTTGGGAACTTGGAAAGAAAGAAAGTAAGTTTCATATACAGGAATATTAAGACACAAGTTGCCAAAGCAAACCCGCAAATCATTTTTTTTCCTTTGCTTGCATAATCCCAGCATTTATCCAGAACTTTGTCACATTTCCTTTCATGATTCTAGCCAGCCTGTATTTTTCCTACAGTCTATGGAAGCATTTTCTTTGACAGTTTTCTCACCTGCAAGAAAATGTACCCCTGCTATTATATACAAATTTAGCATGACCTAATTAAATAAAGGTTCATTAAAGAAAACATGAAGTTTTTTAAAGAATGTATAGGCCACAATTTTTTGCGAAGTCTCTGGATTTCACAGCTATGTATCACATGCTAGAGTATCAGCAGCATTGACTCTAAGATAAGGACAACCATAGCATCAATGTCTTAGAGCAGTTCCGTGGCATGGTGCTTATCACAATGCCTGGCTCATTAAGTGTGTAATAAAAGTTAACCATCATTATTATTATCATCAAAAGTTTAACTGTAGCATAAACATGTGAAAGGATGACAAGCAAAATATGTGAAGTCACCTTAAATAACAATAGCTTAATTCCCATTTGCCAATGAGACACAGAGAGGTTAGATCACATGCTAAAGGTCACACAGATAGAAAAAACAGAATGGCTCCTTAACCAAGAAAGATGAATATGACTTGAGCTGTGGTATTAATACACAGAAATAAAGCATGTGTAGATCAGAAGAGGGATTGCTAAGAAATAAAGCATCCAGAAACGAACAGTGAAGGTTCGTGTACTTGTTAAGTATATATCCTATGTGAAAGTGATTTGTCAGTGTTATCACAACCTAATGGCATTAATAAATAAGAATAACTCTCCATATTCTGAATCTGCTCACCATCCAAATGTCCACTAATTTGCTCGTTTCCCATGAGTTTGCCTAAATCCAACCCACCTACTACTTTATTTCATTAAACTATGACACATTTTAAAAGTAAAAAATTCAGTGTCTCGTAAATGTTGAGTAAGAGAGTAAAAAAATGAATAAGAAAAAGTTAAAGAAATTAGATAAGAACCAGGAGAGCAAAGTTCAAAAGAAAAGAGGATTTCCAGGCACTGTTAATTTCTACAGAGAGTGACATATGAGAAAAGGTTATTGGATTTGGCAAGAAGTCAGTCTTTGGCAGAAGAGAGACATCGTCTTAATGTGGTAGTCACAGAACCCAAATAGAAAGGATTTAAGGCAATAATGAGTGGTTAGGGAGTGTAAGCTGCAAATGGAAACTATTTATTTGAAAGGATTGGCCATGAACTAAAGGGGAGAAAGAGTTCAGTAGCTAAAAGGAAAACAAGTTGCAAGTGTGTGTGAGTGTGTGTGCATGCATGTTTTGGAAGAGGAAATTCGAACATGTTTGGAGATAAAAGAGAAACAAATACTCATCTGTGAAGCAATAAGAATTTTGATAATTTGAGATTTGGAGTGGTACACATCACTGTAGATGTAGGTCTATGATGGTTGATCATTGGAGAGAAATCCTGGTAGGAGGAAAGAAGTATGTGACATGCAATGTTTAAAAGGAAATGTGCAGTGAGATTTGGTATCAGGGCCAGGTGGTGCCATCAGGAGGATCTCCAGCATGCCATCACCAAGATAAATTTGCAAGGGACCAGGTTCTGAGCAGGTCCAGACATGCCAGCTTCCCAACTGCATTAGTCTTAGTAAGGCTGTGCCCCATCAGTTCGTGAAATTACGTTTAAGACAGTCATAAGTGGCTGAATCTGACCTCTCTCCCAGCCTTTTCACCTGTATTTCCAAATTGCAATTAGCACTCCCATTTTGGCATCCTACAAGCAGCATAACATTAACATATCCCAAACTGGGCTCATCGTCTTTCCTCTCAAATGAGTTCCTCATCCTGAATTCCCCATATACACATATAGAGAATGTAAACATCACTACCTACACTGCAGACCAAGCCAGGAATCATCATAGAATCTTCTCTTTTCCTTTTCCCCTTACAATCTAATCAAGCACTTAAAATCACTTTTAGTCTGGGGAATGGAAGTCTACTTCAACCCCATTTCTCTCACCCAAAGGAAGAGAGGAGATAATAACTTGTGTGTTGTCTCTCAAGACACAAATCTGGCCAGGGTGGGTGGTGACTATAGTCACAGTGTTGGTAGGTCCTACAAGTGGGCCTTGTTCCATTTTTAGCTCTCTATTCCAACCACGCAGCAACGGCTCTAAGGCAACTGCAGTCCAAGCCTTCTTGCTCTTCTCTCCTGTTTTTCATTTCATATGATTGACAAGATTATATTAAAATTATCTTTGGGCTTGAGGTTGTTAGGCTTTCAGGTCTCTACTCATGTTCATTGTTTGGGAACCTGAAGTTTTGCTAACAGTAGGTTTTCCCCTCTACCTCTCTTGGTGAGTTTCCATTGATTTTTCCATAGCTTCCATCTACAAATAGTTTCACCTCCTTGTAACCTTTTCTAATGTTCCCAAGTAGTTTGTGCTTGCTCTTGGGTCACTTGCTCTTCTGGGTTATGTTGTATTGTGTTTAAATGTACAATACATCTATTATGTATTCAATCTCTTTGTTCTGACAAGTCTCTAATGTTTTATTCCCTAGTAAATTAAGTCACTTTGTAATCCCAGTGCTAATGAGAGTAATGGCATATTGTAGTCATGTGGCAAATATTGGTTGGATAGCATAGTATAATGCATGACATATGGCAGGAATATAATGGATTTTAGTTCCTTTCACCACTGTTAACTTAACCATTCATTCTTCATTCTTACCTCTTGATTCCATGATATGCAGTGGTGGGTCAAGAAGTGATACTGGTTAGGAGAAATTTACCTCCCTTATTTTGTGTCAAAACCCTTGAAGCCGAAATAGTGTGCATGCCATGCAAACACAACCTCAATATATCTCAAATATACACATATATCTTCAGTCAAAAATGCTTCTTCAGTATTAGAAAGGTTTTCTTTTTTTATTGAAGCATAGTTGACACATAATGTTACATTAGTTTCAGGTGTTCAATACAGTGATTTGACAGCTCTATACATTATGCTGTGCTCACAGTGTACTACCACTTGTCACCACACAATGCAATTATAATACGAGAAGCTTGGTCTCTTGATTCCAGAAAACCATATACTCCTGATTTTCCTCCCGTTTCTTCTTAGTTTATTCATTCAAAAAATATTGATTGAGCAAGTGGCATGTATTAGGTATTATTCTAGGCACTAAGTAGTAAATCAAACTTTAAAAATTCCTATCTTCATGGAGCTTACATTCCAGTTGGAGAGATAGGCATAGGGCAAGATAAACAGGTAAAATATACCATATGCTAGATACGATAATTATAAAGAAAAACAATAAAGTAGAGAAGGCAGGCAGCATTGTTGGGGAGAGTGATTGTGATTTTAGAATGACCAAAGAAGGCCCCATTGAAAAGGTGACATTCGAATAAAGACCCAAAGGAAAGGCAAGAGGAAGCCACATGGATGTATTAGGAGAAGAATATTCCAGGAAGACGGAGCAAGTACCCCAACGTGTTAACATGTCTGGCATATTTGAGAGAAGTGAAGAGGCTAGTGTGACTAGGGCAAAGTAAGGGAGAAAGAAGTCAGGAGATTGGTCAGAGGTACGTTGGTCTTCTATTTCTACATGTATTTCTACATCTCACTTAAGCGTCTTCTCAAAAGGTAGCTAGAACCTTTTAAAAATCAAATTTAACTCCTCTGCTCAAAAACGCTCTAATGGGTTCATATCCTAGAGTAAAATCCAGCCCTAAGAATAGCCTAAAATTATCCTCCACACTCTTACCATCTGATAACTCTCTGACCACATCTTCTATTCCCTCTCTTGCACTTGCTGCTCTAGACCTCCAAATTTCTTTGCTTTGCTCAAACATTCTAGGCTGTTCCTTCTGCCAGGAACACATTCTTCCAGATAGCCGTGTGACTCTGTCCCAAACCACTTCAGGTCTTTACTCAATACCACCTTCTCAGTGAAGCATTCCTTGTCTACCCTGTTAAAAAATACAATACCTCTTCCCTCCAGAATTCCTCCACCTCCCTGATTTAATTTTCTCCGTAATACTAATCACTATCTACCATATTTATGTAAATGCCACGAAGGCACAAACTATTATCTGTTTTTTGTTCTCTGCTGTATTTCTGACACCAAGAATAGTATCTGACACATTGTTGGCACTTAATATACTTTAATAAATGGATGGATGGGATGAATGAATGCAATAAACATACAATCTAAGCAAAAAGTCTGCTTGCTATGCAAATGTTGTTTCAAACTTGTCTCCTATAAGCTCTTCCCTCAAAATTCCCTCACTTAGGCTCCTCCTAAAAAATGCTGAAACGCCCATAGATGGTACAGTAGAAAGTACATGTGGTTGGGGCTCAAGAGTCATACTGAGGGCTTGTTGAGGTCATGCCTATGGAAGGCATTTATAAAAATGAGTAAAGTGTGGTTTTTGTTTTTGAGGATTTCATAGTGCAATTGGGGAGAAAGTTGTATACTATGTGACTTGCATAAAAAGAAAAAGTTTTAATGTAAATATTCACAACTTTCCCTTTGGGTGGCAATTCCTAAATAATTTTTTGAGCTATGGCAGCAGAGAGCAGCAAATTTGAAACTTGCTTGATTTACATTAAAGAGAAAGAGGAGTCCTTGAAATTTTTCTTCTGCAGAAGAAGGCCATATTGGAAGTGAAGGAATTAAATGGTGATAGTAAGATGGATGGAATATGATCAAGCAATAATTATGGCCTGAGATTTTAGCAATAGGGTGCATGGAGGGGAATGAAAAGAAAGATTTTGGAATGGCTTTCATAAGAATTGGAGGAAGCAAGTGGATAAAGAAAAGTTTTAGATATTTATGGATCAAGCAAAGGAACTGTCCTTTCTTTCCTCTAGAATATTTTCAGTTTTATGGCCATTTTTTCTTTGTAAGAGCACCCAAATGATTTGGTTGCAAATATACCTCTAAGAAGCTGAGTCAATTCATTTAACATTGCTACTTGGTGTGGAAAATGTCTTGTTTCAAAATGATAATTTCAGTTTTGCCTAATCACTATGTAGCAGTTCATTCTGACCACAAGTAGCAAAGAAGATGAGGGGCTGTTCTTAGTTTTTTATTAAACCATGCCATCAGCATAGAAGAGAATGTTAAGGGAACTATTGCATCTGGTACTTTTACAATCAGAATCTATGAATCTATACGTGTATAGGAAGCTCCTTTTTATCTAAGAAGCACTGCATTTATACTTTCATTAGTTACTCTCTTGAGTATTTTCCCCTTTTTTCCTCTTTTGTTACTTTCCTTCTCCTTTTTTTTTGGCTGAGATTTTATGTTAAATCATTTTACACCACAAAAAAATCATAAAATTTCATTAATGTTAAATATTTTTCCCATTCCTCCCCCCCCATCTTTTTATGGAGGGACTCATAATTGATCAGTGATTGATGAACTGGTCCAAACAAGGACTAGAAAGACAATTGTCTACCTTCCCTGTTGAGGGATCTCTGAGTGGGGGATTTTTGTATCCCACAAGTGGATTATCACAGGATCAATTGGTGGGTGAGGATACATTATGAAAAAAAATCTCAATTTATTCTTAAAATTTCCAAATTGTATTTACTTAGTTGAATTGACTAGAACGCTAGGGCTCTGAGACTACTGGGGCAATAACCAGAAGTTCCCAGGTGATGTATATCTCAAGAGAAGCATTGCTACCACCACTACCATCAGCATTTATAACAGCTATCGTTTCTATACCCCTTATGGTGTATCAGAGACTGTTCTAGTTGTTTTACATAAATTAACTCATTTAATCTTCACAACCCCCTAGATAAGTTCTGTTATCATCACCTCTTTTTTACAGGTAAAGAACAGAAATGCAGAAGACTAAGTAACCTGCCCTAGCTCAGAAGCATTGTTGCAAACACTCAAACCCAGGTTGTTTGGCTTCACAATAGATGCTCTTTACACTGTCTCTAATAGTGATGAAGGTCCAGACCATCACAATTCATATCTCCCCATTAGATTTAAAATCTTTAAGGTAGACATGTCTTTTACTCTTAGTGAGATGCTTGTTGTCTTACGTATACCTGTTGCTGTAAAAACTTGATGCTTTAGGAATAAAGCCATTAGCAGAGAGAGAGACCTGAATAACCAATTTAGCTGATTCTGGGACAGATTCTGTTTCCTGTGTGCAGAAAATTTACAAAGTAGCCATGAATTGGATCTACTTTTAATGTAGATAACACCACTAAGTCTTACCTTACATAGTTGAGCCTTGAACAGCATGGGTCCAATTATACACAGATTTTTTTCTGATAAATACAGTGCAGTACTGTAAGTACATCATTTTCTCTCCCTTACGTTTTTCTTAAAAACATTTTCCTTTCTCTAGCCTACTTTATTGTAAGACTACATTCTATAATATGTATAAAATACAAAGCACACGTTAATCAACTGTTTATGTTATCAGTAAGGCTTCCGGTCAACAGTAGGCTATTAGTAGTTAAGCTTTGGGGGAGTCAAAATTATATGCAGATTTTTGACTGTGGGGAACTGGGGGGGTTGGTGCCCCTAATCCCCATGTTGTTCAAGGGTCAACTGTATATTTCAATGGCCCATCCCATAGTAAACTGCAGCAGGTGAACTGTCTCTGTGTGAAGAAAGACTCAGGCAAATTTATTTTCCTTAGGCAACACGCAGTGGGAAAATATCTCACTTAAGAATTTGTTCTTTACCTGTTTACTAAACAATTGCAGGGAAAAAAATAGATGATTTTTTTAAGGAAATATGTATTTACTTAATGTATTTATGTATGTATTGAGTGTGTATTTAGAAATACTTTTTCTTTTAATGGTCTATTTCCCCCAATTTTATTACTAATATATGAACATTATATGTAAGTTATGAAGCACAATTTTAAAATGAATACCTGTGAATATATTGCTCAACTTAAGAAATAGAATGCTATCAATGCTATTGAAGCACATATCCGTCCCTTCTATCTTTTCCCTGCTTCCCTGTCCCTTCCCAGAAATACTCATAATAATAAATACTTTAAGTCATTTCCTAGGTCATCTTCATGGTTTTTCCAATGAGCACGTATATATTGCTAAACTTGTAGTTTGCTTTGGGTTATTTTTGAACTTTGTAAAATATTAACAAATTATCTATATTCTTCAGCAACTTCCTTTTCACTGAAAAAAGTTTCTAAGATTCATCCATGTTATGTTATAGCTGCAGGTTAATGATTTTCACTACTGTTTAGTATTCATTGTATGAATATACCACACTTTTACTAATTCAGTCTCTTACTGAGAGGTATTTGTTTTTGTTTTGTTTTTCCATTAGAAGCAGTGTTGCTACAAACACTAGTACATGTCTCTTGGGGGGCACTTATGCAAGAGATTTTCTGGAGAATAAAGCTAGGAGTTAAATTTGGAGCTTGTAATGATTACACCAATATATCCTCCTACTAGCAGCCTTTAAGAGTTCTACTACATTTTGCATCCTCCACAACACCTGGCAGGTGAGACTTTAACACTGTCATCAATCAAATAGCTGCAAAAGGTGGTTTTATTTGTATTTCCCTGATAACTAAAGTAAGGTTGTGGCCTTCCCAAGTTTATTGGACATTCATTCATATTTCTCTTTGAGAAATGTCTGTTCTTTGTCTCTTTCTCTACTGAGTTGTTTGCATTTTTCATCTTGATTTTTAAGAATTGTTGAGTAGTCTGGTAACTAATCCTTCCTTAGCTATTTGTAAAGTGAGTACCTTTCTGTTTTCCTTTTTTGACTATGTTTTGACATCTTTTTTTTTATAGCTTTGTTTTAAACAAAGCTTAACCTTTTATGTATTTGAAGACATCAAATCTTTTAGTTTATGATTGGGGCTTTTTCTGTCTTTTCTAAACTGTAGTCATAAATCTATTCTATTTTCTTCTAAAATTTACAAAGTTTTGCTTTTTCACATTTAAGGTCTTATTCCATCTGAAATTAATTTTTTGTGGGGTATGAGGTAGTGATCCAATTTTATTTTTTATTCAGATGTATAGCATTTGTCCTAGCTTTAATTGTAGAATAGTGCATCTTTTTAAGCTAATCTAGAAATTCAACTTTGTCATATATTAAATTTTTATATATGTTTAGGTCTGTTTCTGTGACAGCTATTATTTTCCATTGGCCCATTAATGTTTTTCCATTTCAATATTACACATTATTAAATTTTATAACTTTATAATGAATCCATATTTGGCAATGCAAGTACTCTCTTCTTGTTCTTCTTTAAGAAGATTTTGGCTCAGGGACGCCTGGATGGCTCAGTCAATTAAGCGTCTGCCTTCGGCTCAGGTCATGATCTCGAGGTCCTGGGATCAAGCCCCTCATCGGGCTCCCTGCCTCGCGGGGAGCCTGCTTCTCCCTCTGCCTGCCGCTCCCCCTGCTTGTGTGTGCTCTCTCTCTGACAAATAAATAAATAAAATCTTTAAAAAAAAGAAGATTTTGGCTCATTGTGGATCTTCCACATACATTTTCAAATTATCTTGTTCGGGTCAAGAACTGTGAGAGCAGTGAGATTTTACAATATTTGCAAGCCAACAGGTTATCTTACTACAGTTTCATAGATACTGGCAGAAGATACGAACTCCTGTGTCATTAGTTAAGGCACAGCAAGCAGCCTGAGCTTCATGTTTGCATCAGTTCTTGTTTCCAAGTGCAATTGGGCAGCATGGATGGGTTCAGATGGATGCCTGCATATGCACTGGGTTGCATTTTAGGAGAGAAACCCTAAGCCTAGGGAACTTGAATCTTTTTTAATTGGCAGTAAATGTTGACTACTTTTTGCTCCAGAAGGAGACACTGTATCTTCCAAGGCTATTCACTATACAAACATCCCTGACAAGTTAATCCAGAACAAAAGACAGTGTCTCTTATCTTTTAATTTTTCATGTATTCTCTTATTTTTAAACTTTCTGCTACAGCTACAGTATGCCCCCTTTTCATTCCTCACATTGTTGATTTTTCACTTTACGTTTTTGCTTGAATCAACTTTGCTGGGGTTTGTTAATTTTATTAGTCTCTCCAAAGACCAACATTTCATTTTGTTTCTCTTCTATTACATGCTTGTTTCTATTTCCATTCTTTTCCATATGATTTTCCTCTTCCAGCTTTCTTTGGGTTTATTTATTATTTAATTCCAGTATTTAAAATTTTTTATTACACTCTTCTCTTTAACTCTTGAGTTACCATAATTGTGGTTAAAACTTTGCAAACAGAGAGAATTATTTTTAGCTCTCATTTTATTTTTAATTTCTGTGTTCTGTGATAAGCTATCAGCTACAACAAACAATTCCAAATTTCAAAGGGCTTAACGCAGTACAAGTTTATTTCTTGTTCATTTAAAGTCCATCCTGATTATTTCTATGTATGACACAGAGAGTAAGCTTCTTCCCTTTTTTAAATTGCCAACATTCTCAACGTGCAGCTCTCTATGTTTTAGATGAAAAGGAAGCAAGAGTGTACAAGATTGCACAGGATATTCTGTGTTCAGACCTGAAATTACATGCATCACTTCTTCCTACATTCCATAGGACAGAGCTAAGTCTTCTAAATATAAAAGGGATTCTAGGGGTGCCTGGGTGGCTCAGTTGGTTGAGCGTCTTGCCTTTGGCTCAGGTCATGATCCTGGAATCCCAGGATCGAACCCCACATCGGGCTCCCTGCTCAATGGAGAGTCTGCTTCTCCCTCTGACCCTCCCCCTTCTTGTGGTCTCTTTCTCTCTCTCTCTCACTCTCTCTCTCAAATAAATAAATAAAATCTTTAAAAAAAAAGGGGGGGGATTCTAAAACTGGGGTTTAACTCTATGACCAGGACTGATAGGAAAATCAGAATTCTTGCCACGATTTCTAATGGTCAGAAATGTGTTCTGTATGATACCAATTCTTTCCAATTGCTGGATGCAGACTTCTATATATATCAATGAAATCTGACTTGATAATTTTATTGTTCAAATTATTTGCAATATTGGTTTTTCTTTCTTTTATTAACTCCATTTTGTTTTTTATTGAAATACATTTGACATACAACGTTGTGTAGATTTAAGGTGCATGTGTTGATTTATAACATTTATATGTTATAATATGATTGCCCAACTGTAGTGATAGTTAACATCTTTATCATGTCACATAATTATCATTTCTTTTTTGTGGTAGGAATAATTAAGATCTAGTCTCTTAGCAAGTTTGGCAATTATAATACAGTATTGTTTGTATATTCAGTACACTGTGCTTTATAGATCTCTAGAACTTCTTTATTGGTTGCAACTTTGATGGTTTTATTACTCTAAGTATTTTTTTAAAAGATTTTTTAATTTATTTAACAGAAAGAGATAGCGAGAGCAGGAACATGAGCAGGGTGAGTGGGAGAGGGAGAAGCAGGCTTCCCGCTGAGCAGGGAGCCCGATGCAGGGCTCGATCCCAGGATCCTGGGATCATGACCTGAGCCAAAGGCAGACGCTTAACAACTGAGCCACCCAGGCACTCCTTATCTACTCTAAGTATTAATGACTAAAAGATATGTGATAGATATTTCCCACAAATATTTGCATTTGTCAATTTCTCTTTGTAGTTCTTTTTGTTTATATGGTATTTATTTTGAGGCTATGATAACAAATAATATAAACCTATAAATGTGATATTCTTTTGATTATATCTTGTTATTTTTATAGAGTTTTCTTCTTTACTAGTAGTATTTTTTTCCTTGAAAGAATAATTTTGGGGGCACCTGGGTGGCTCAGTTGGTTAATGGTCTGCCTTCAACTCAGGTCATGATTCCAGGGTCCTTGGATGGAGCCCCACATCCAGCTCCCTGCCCAGCGGGGAGCCTGCTTCTCCCTCTGCTACTCGCCCTGTTTGTGCTCGCTCTCTCTCTATTAAATAAAATCGTTTAAAAAAAAGAATTTTGTCTGACATTAATTATGGCTATATTACTTTCTTTTGGTTAAATTTGCCTGGTTGTCCTGAAACTCTGACTAGATGTATTTTGGACTTCCTCTGTTTTCTTTATGTCTTCAACTCTTTTGTTGTTGTTGTTGTTATGCAATATGGAATATATTGTCATTGTCAAAGCTTCAAATGATACAGAAATATAAGGAATATACATTTAAGTTTCTTTCTTTTTCTTTCTTTCTTTCTTTCTTTCTTTCTTTCTTTCTTTCTTTCTTTCTTTCTTTCTTTCTTTCTTTCTTTTTCTTTCACTTTTTTGATGCAGTGTTCCATGATTCATTGTTTGCATATAACACCCAGTGCTCCATGCAGAACGTGCCCTCTTTAATACCCATCACACGACTAACCCATCCCCCCACCCCCCTCCCCTCTAGAACCCTCAGTTTGTTTCTCAGAGTCCATCATCTCTCATCGTTCGTCTCCCCCTCCGATTTCCCCCCCTTCATTTTCCCTTCCTACTATCTTCTTTTTTTTTTTTTTAACATATAATATATTATTTGTTTCAGAGGTACAGGTTTGTGATTCATCAGTCTTACACAATTCACAGCGCTCACCATAGCACATACCCTCCCCAATGTCTATCACTCAGCCACCCCATCCCTCCCACCACCCCATCACTCCAGCAACCCTCAGTTTGTTTCCTGAGGTTAAGAATTCCTCATATCAGTGAGATCATATGATACATGTCTTTCTCTGATTGACTTATTTTATTTAGCATAATACCCTCTAGTTCCATCTATGGCGTTGGAAATGGCAAGATTTCGGGGGTTTTTATGGCTGCATAATATTCCATTGTATATATATACCACATCTTCTTTATCCATTCATCTGTTGATGGACATCTTGGCTCTTTCCATAGTTGGGCTATTGTGGACATTGCTGCTATAAACATCGGGATGCACGTACCCTTTCAGATCCCTACTTTTGTATCTTTGGGGTAAATACCCAGTAGTGCAATTGCTGGATCATATGGTAGCTCTATTTTCAACTTTTTGAAGAACCTCCATACTGTTTTCCAGAATGGTTGCACCAGCTTGCATTCCCACCAACAGTGTAGGAGGGTTCCCCTTTCTCCGCATCCCTGCCAACATCTGTCGTTTCCTGACTTGTTTATGTTAGTCATTCTGACTGGTGTGAGGTGGTTCCAAAGAAGACATCCAAATGGCCAACAGACACATGAAAAAGTTCTCAACATCGCTCGGCATCAGGGAAATCCAACTCTTTTTAAAAGTATTTCCCATCTTTTTATCTCTATTGCTGTATTCTGTGTAATTTCTCTTTTTGCATAAGAATTTTCCATGTTATTAATTGTATCCACCATGGTATGTATCTGCTGCT